AAATATATATATATATATATATATTTAGTAAGATATGGTTGTTTTTTTACTTATTCTTATCAAATAAAAACTGACAATGGAAATTCTATATAATAAACAATAATCCTTAATAAATAATAAGTCATTTGGTGATGGTAAAACAATTTTATGACATTTTGTGTATAGAACAGGACATCTATATATATATATATATTTGTGATACTTAAATTGTTGAAGATGTGTGTATTGCCACCAATTCCTTGTACATATTTTCAATGTTAAGTTTTCTTGGAATGTTACCAGTGATGTAGACATTGCGTATACAGAGATAATTGAAACTGCTTTGTCTTACTTAAACTCGTTGGTGTCTCAGAGTGAAAGCCAGGTGATTAGTGGAATTTGATAATTGATTAATTGTTGAAATCATCAATAAGGTACTTTCAACTTTTGATAAAAGTAATAATAAACCATTTAAGCCAAAATTATTTATCATTGCAAAAACAAAGACTTATTTCTACGTGTTTCAGCCTCATTTGTTTGGGCCATCATCAGGCAAAATAATAATAGATGAGACAATATTATATACACTACTGACAAAAATTAAAAGATAATAAGGTTTGTTTCGATTTGTATATTTGTTAGGTTATCAGTTGCTTTCAAATGTAGCATGTTTATTGCACAGGATTACACTAATCCTACCTAAAGTTTGCAAGTTTATGCACCAATGATTCCTTACGTAATAGAATCTTATGAAAAATGGACCTAAATTCTGTAAAGCAAAAGGCTAGTTTTTATTGATTAGCAAAGATGTTTGCTGTTGATATAATGCTAGGCTTATGGATTTTTTTGCTTGCATTGACTTTTACAAAGAGTGCAAGCTGTTAGAAACCAGTTTGCAGAGCTGTCACACTGCTTCAAGAGGGCTGCATTCAGACTGAGGTGGGACAGGTCATGGGGGTGTCACAGTCCATGGTCAGTATATTGTGGCACACATATTAGGCCACAGGAGAATACACTAGGAGGCCAAGCCAGGGTTACTGAAGGGCTAGAGATGCAGTAGATGGCCAATATCTGTGGAATTTAGCCCTTAAAAACTGCACCAGCAGTGCTAGGGTCCTAAAGAATGAACTTCAGGAAGCCACTTGAGTGTGTGTGTGTGTATCATGCTCAACAGTCAGGAACAGGCTCCATAAAGCTGATCTCGGGTCAAGGACACCAGTTAGAGCCCCTGTAGTTACTCCAAGGCATTAGCTGGCTTTTGCCCAGGAACATATCACCTAGACTCTTCATCAATGGACCCCTATACTGTTCACAGATGAGCACAAGTTCTGTACATCTTCAAGCAATCGATGTATGAGGGTCTCAAGATATGAAGGAGAGCAATATTGGGCCTGTAATATTGTCCACCATGATGCCTTTGGTGGTGACTCAATCATGGTCTGGGGTGGCATCTTCATGCATGGGCATACAGACCACTATGTGGTGGATGGAGAATCTCTGGCAGCAAGATATTACGTGGATGAGATCCTGCTATTCTTATTCACCCATGTGCTGGTGCTGATGGAGGTGAGTTCCAATATCAGCAGGATGATGCCTATTTTCACACTGCCAGAATCGTGCAGCAATATTTTCAGGATGAAGGAATAGAGCTACTGGACTGGCCTACTAAGTTTCTGGACCTAAATTCGATTGAGCATGTGTGGGACTTGCTAGGGAGAGCACTTAGAGACAGACAACCTGCTCCTACAACAGTCCAGTAGCTTAGAGCTGCTCTAATCCGGGAGTGGACTATGCTGCCACAGCAAGTCAACTGAAATGTCATCAGCAGTATGGGGAACAGGTACAGAGAAGTCATGAACAATAGAGGAGGACGTACCAGCTACTAAAGACTCGTTTTCTTAAGTTTGTTCATCTTAATAAGTTATTTTTTCTTTAATATTTGTGCAGCCAAATATTTTAATTTTATTGTTTTAATTTTTCTTTTTTGTTATTTGTAAATGAATTTTTTGACTTGCTTGGTATTGTGTACCTGTGTTTTTGTTTTGGAATTAAGCACAAAGCTACACAATGGGCTATCTGTGCTCTGCCCATCACGGGTATTGAAACCCGGTTTCTAGTGTTGTAAGTCTGCAGACATACTGCTGTGCCACTGGGGGGCATGTACCTCTGATCTCTGTAATAAACAAGTTTTGTCAGTATTGAATGTCTGTTTTTTCCTTCAACTTTTGAAAATAACATTTTTGTGAGTAGTGTATATACTATGTTTAAAAAACTTGTTCCAATAACACAGAATTTTTACAGAAGTTTTAGAAATGACTATTTCAACACTTATTTATAATAATTAATTTTAATGCTAGTTATAATATGTTTTTTTAATTGATAGTAAATCAGGTGCAGCATTGTATTCTGATTCTCTTACAAGAACAACAATATAGTACTTTTTGAATTCTTTTTTTAATTGAAACTTGTAATTATATTACAAGATTTAGTTCTTTGTAACTTTGTCTTTGTTTTGTCGTGGATTAAAAATAATTAGAAATTGAAACTAAAAACAGTGGAGATACATATCACAAAATAATATATAATCTCTAAGGTTGGTTTGAATCTTTTGACACTGGACATTTTCAAGTAAGGGTGTTGTTATTTTTTGCTGTTAGCCCCTCTTACAATTTTAAACTTTATATAGTGGTTTTTTGATTGACCATCTTCTCCATAGTTTTAGTTATACTTACTTCTAAACTTATAATGTGCCAACTTTACCTAGAACTCCAGCTGAGCTATTTTCTTTACTTTGCAGAACTAGGTCACGTTTTATACCTTTGTTCATAGCTTATAAAGTATAAGCTCTAAGGTTATTAAGGCAAGCATATTTTGTTCCTAAGCCTAGTCATGACTAGCTGTGCATCGTATTTGAGTATAAAATGTCAAGATGCCATTAAAGTCAAAGAGCAAGGTCATGTAGAGGTAAAAAAATCATTATATTACTTCATTGTTTCAAAATTTAGACAAATGATAATACTTGAATAATAATTGTGTATAAATCCCATAGTGATCAGTGTCACATAGAGGTAAAACTTATCTTGAACAGTAGTTGTACATAAATCCCACAGAGTTCAAGGTCACCAGAAGTAATAACTGCCTTGTTATTTATTGTTTTGTAATAATTGGTTGTGTGCAAAGAAGTAAAAATACCTAGAAGTTAAGTATAGAGTTAGTTTTTAAGTTATTAGACTTTTTTCTGATTTGTTTTTAGATTTGGTGGAATTTCAAATAATCAGCCAAAGTTGTGTATTAAATGTTACAAAAAAGATCAAAGATATTTGTTCTTTGTTGCTAATGTTTCCATGCCAATTTCTATAGACAGTGTTTAGATAGATCAGGATAATGCTAGGTTTTTCTGATTACCTTTTACTAATTCTGGCAAGATATGCAATTTAATTCCATATTTTACATTAATCTTGAGTTAAAAATAGAGTGAGTATCATCAGGAATATGTTGAAGTCAGTTAACTCTGTCCATACCTGTGAACACTTATCAGGTATCGAGTGCACGCCCACATATCAAATTTCAAAAGTTAAATAAAAATAAAAATTGAACAGTTCTTTTACCAAAAAATATTTTAAAATTGATATTTTCACATTTTGAAACATTTCACGTAATTCACAAAGAAAAATGTAAAAGAAATGTTAACTTGCATTTCTGCACAACTGTGAGTGGTCTTGCTTGTAAATAATGTGTTTATAAATTATTTGGAATTTTTCTGCCCATCCCAAAGGATAGGTTTATACTTGCTAAGAAATTACCATCCCTTTAAATTATAATTCTCAAGGTTTTGTTTCTCACATGATTTTTGTTTTCTTTTTTATTATATTTTATTATTATGTAGCACATTTTTATGATATCACAACAGGTGATGTAAAAGATTAGATGAAGACCATCTTTTAGAAAAGCTACAGGCAAAGTTCAAATATCACTGGCTAGAGCAGATTATAGAAACTCTGTTTGCATCAATACTGAATGAATCAAGTGATGTGAGATCTATTTATTGTTTCTTGGGAAAATGAGTTGATGTTGCTTCTGTAGAAAAGAACAACAAAATTTAGTGGGTAGTTTAGCAGGCTTGGGAACGAACCAGAGATCTGGGAATTTTTTATATACATTCCTTTCTTTCCTGAAAATGTCTTCCTGTTAAGTTATGGGTGTTTGAAAGCTATGAAAATTTTCTTGTACTATAAGACATCACGTAAGCTTAGTTAAGTTTGGAGGGTATGGAAGGTGACAGCAAAATATTCTGACGATCGAATGTTTCACAAATTGTTCTGTATTGAACATTATTATTATCATTATGGTTATCATATTAAAACAATGTAAAAAAATAAAATAACTTATTATTTATTCAAAATAATCTATATTTATTATGATCATGAATATTGTTACCTAGCCATTATGATAGGTTAGGTCATGGGTCACCGATAAATCTTTACCAGTTTTTGCTGTGTTTTTAAAACTTGTAGCTAGAAATGGTAACTATTGCAATAGATATGTTGAATATCAATCAGGTTGAAACTGACTGTATGTATAAAATAGAACCCTATAATCAACAATAAAGAAGTATAAGTTCTAAGACAGAAGGTAGTATTTCAAGTTTGATCTTATGTAAAATGTTTTTTTTTATGGAGAATAACATACAAAATATGACTTTTATTCAATTTGGTAAAGGTTTTTAATCAAATAAAAAGCTTATGTGTAGTTAATTGTTAAAATGACATGACAAATGTTGACTTCTCTGTCATATTCTGTTATATTTATTACCTTTATGCTCCTTAAGATGAAATTCACAGAGTTTGTGTAGTTATCAACTGATGTAATAACAATTTTTTGCTTTATTCTGTTGCTTCATGTGGGAGACTTGCTTATAATGTGTAAACTATTGATTCTGCCCTTGTTAGTGGTTTTCTTTGATAATTAGATTCCTAAAAAACTTCTCCAATAGTGAAGAGATATTGTAAAAATTTGAAAAATTATAGGAAGGACTTTCAGTAGATTTATTTTGTAAAGATAAATTCTTTGATATGTTTTAGGGAAAAAAGTTTATTTGTATTACAAAGGGAGAACTTTAAAAAAATGTTGATGAGCTTCTTAAAATATCTGTTTTGAAAAGTATTTACTGAAATAGTTGTTTTATTTAGGGAGATGAAGGGCAACAAGGATTACCTGGAATTCCTGGAGAGATGGTATGTTTTAGGAAAAGTGTGGAAATATTATGCAGGAATTATTGCATAAAAATAGTTTATAAGTGACTAAAAGTGTCAGTTTTGTATTTTTTTTCTTAATTATTGATTTAGTTTACAAAATATGAGAAAGTTTAAGCATTACAATACCTTCCAAGTAATTTATTCATTTTATGTCTGTGTTTGTTGAAACTATTTGCATGTAAACAGTGATTTAACAAAAATCTGTACAAATGTAAAAAAAATACAATACATGCACATTCATAACTCCCTTGTTAACAGCAGACAGTAAGGTTTATGTATTTGAATTTCACACATACACATCAAAAATTCACATTAAATGACATACTGAGCTTCAGTGTTTGGTGTGTTGGTCTTTTCAGACAGTTTTTTAAAAGATAGTAATGGAGAATTGAACAACAGAACAAAAGCCATATGAATGAATGAGTTGCTGTTTTGCATTACATTTTTACACAAGTGTGTATAATGTTTCACATTTACATTTTTACACAAGTGTGTATAATGTTTCACATTTACATTTTTACACAAGTGTGTATAATGTTTCACATTACATTTTTACACAAGCATGTATAATGTTTCACTGTTGCATTTTTTAGTAACTTATCATCCACCATTCTCTGAATTCATTTTTTTCCACTACTTGTTTCTTGGCATATAGATAGACAACTGTATCAGGTTTGAAATCCATATAACTGAACAGTTAAGAATAATATTTACCCTTTATACATGGTATTATTTTCGAAGAATATTTGTAATGTAATAGAATTATGTAATTTATTTAAATTTGCCTTCACTAAAGACTGGAATCTGGACATTTTAGGTATCTTTTTTTTTCTAGGGTCCAAGAGGATTTCCTGGTCCAAGAGGGTTTCCTGGTCTGTCAGGACCTCCTGTGAGTAGATAAGTTGTGACATTTAGAAAACTGGATCTTATTTAGACCTTAATGTTTTTTCTCTGTTTGTTATTACCTTTGACTATATGTGTGACAATTACAGAAAGATATGCAGCTACTAAAACAGTCTGTGTTTGTTTTTTAAAATATCAAAAAAAATTGTTAGATGTAGCAACTTAATATCTAGCTATGTCATTATTTTTAATCCAACTAAATATAATCTGAATAGTAACTGTTTTTGTGAGTTAACTTGGATTGTACATAATTGTTTATTAAAGGCCACGTGCAATCTAGCATTGTACGTGTGTGGGTTATGAAAGAAATTTCTGTTCACTAACTGTTGTAATTGTTACTTTTTTAGGGCATTCCAGGCTCAGAAGGCCCAGTTGGACCAAAAGGAAAAGAGGTATGAAATTGCAATTGAAATTGGAATGTTAAGCTTTACTGTGTGTGTGTAATGTAGTATACAAACCACCAGAAAAAACAAAAAAAACATAAATACGTCTTAATGGTGTTATTTCTCAGTTTAATATATTTCTACTTCTCAACAGTGATTTTTCTTTTTGCATTCACAACTTAATACTTGGAAGTGCTAGTGCCTTGGATACTCAATACTTTTACATAAATTATTACCATTATTTACTAGCTATACACGATATGTTGTGTAAAATATTTTCTAATACTCTTTTTTTTCTCCTCTTTCAAGGGTCCAGCTGGTCAGCCAGGTCAACCTGGAAGTACAGGATCACCTGGACCAATGGTAGTGTGTCATCCTATTTGTTATTATAAGTTTATGTAAATTCATTCAAAACATAATGATCTACAGCTGTAAGTTAAACTAAGCCACTGGAAACATAATAATTTATATTTGTTTACTGTTGTTATATTAACAGCAATAATACACTATAATATTAGCTTGTTTAGTGAAAAACCACAGTAAACGGAACAAACTGTCAGAAGTCTGATATCAGAGAAACTAGTTTTGACACATTTGTGCATCATCTTCAGTTTCACGTTGTTCCATTTACTGTGGTTTTTCACTAGTTGCTATACACAATATTGTGTTCTTTTATTACTATTGTAGTAATCCATATATATTGAAACATGTTTAACTGAAAAAAATTGTAGAAAACAATTTAGAGAACATGGCTATCTCTGATTGTTGAATTGTTTTGTATGTAAAGTATGTTTGTACATGAGTAAATAGTTAATCCCAATAAATAAAACCTTTAAGGTAAGTGCAATTAATAAAATTAATATTTGCCAGCAAACACCTGGTAATAGTTGATCTTATGTGTAAGTTTGATTAATTATTCTGTAGTTTAATACATTATTGTGTAGTTTGATTAATTATTCTGTAGTTTAAAACATTATTGTGTAGTTTGATTAATTATTCTGTAGTTTAATACATTATTGTGTAGTTTGATTAATTATTCTGTAGTTTAAAACATTATTGTGTAGTTTGATTAATTATTCTGTAGTTTTAATACATTATTATGTGTTTGATGCATTATTTTGTAGGTTTATGCATTATTGTGTGATTTGATTCATTGTTTAGTTTGGTGCATTATTTTGTAGGTTTATGCATTATTGTATAGTTTGGTTCATTATTCTTATCAGCAATGAGGAAGTTTAATGAAAGTAATATATGTATGAAATGTTAAACTGACAATGAGATTAATAATATTACCTCATTAGATATGTAGAAAATCCTCGAGCAAAGGAAACTGAACTGTAATCTACATTTGATTACGAGTAATAATATACTAAGAAGTAATATTTGATATCAAACCAGCAGTTATTTCATGTTCAGTAGTATTATCTTGTATCAGACTAGTAGTAATGTGTCCTCAAAGTTTAGTTGTAGTAATTTTAGTAACTTGTTTTATAATTATATCCAAATATCAGAAAGGAGATATTTGTTTTTATAATGATAATAATTGTATAAAATGGGTTTCTGATAGGGTCCACCAGGACCACAAGGACCCCTAGGTCCACAGGGTCTTTCAGTAAGTAATGTTCAATCTTTATTCATTTTCAGTGTATAACGTTCTGTTGGAAACAATTTAAATTTTGTTGAAGTAATTGTCATTTGACACATTTTTGATACAAATGGAAACACAGTATTGTAGTATAAAAATATTAATTTGATTGATCAGTATGCTAATCGTATGTTTCAAAATGATTATTTCTGTTTTGTGTAAAGCATAATTAATATAATTTAGTAATGAAATACTAGTACATTTTAAAATGATTTGATAAATATATGTGTGTGATTAGAAAGATTTTAAGATGTTATCATTGTTGTATTACATTTAAATGTTAATTGGTATGAATTATTTGATTTGTTTTGTTTAGTGCAATGATAGAAGATTTGCTGTAAGTTAATATATCTCTGCCATTACACATAACGTGTATTTAAACACATTAAATTAACTGTTTTTTTCTCAGATTCTTCTGAAGATTCTTTCGTTAGCCAAGATGTGATTAGTTGTAATTCAGTTTCCTAATTAGGTGTATCACAACTAGCAGTTCATGCTTTTATTCCATTTTCTAATATATTTTCTGTTGAATTACTTTTAGTCTTTTTAACCTGATATTGGTGATGTTTTCTTCTAGTTATAGTCTACATTACACTAGTATGTGTGTTTACCTTTTTAAAATATTTGTAATTTACTTTCCATTACTCAGTTTTTGTTTTTGCACTGAGGAAGTCGTAAGATAAATTTATTTTTAATTATTAGGGTCCAAGGGGTAAACCTGGACTTCCTGGACTTCCAGGAGCAGATGGACTTCCAGTAAGTTAAAAATGTACTTCACACTGGATGCACAGATAAATTTTGAGATTAATAATAATTTTCTATCGTAGCATGCAGATACACTTGTTTTAATTGTTACAACCTGTTTCATGTTGTATATTTTTGCTGTGTTCCTATGTGGAACTTTATGAGTGCATCATAAGAAAGAAGATTGCATATTTTTATACATAAAGATATTAAGTTTATTAAGTTTCTCGCTGTAATTACATGTTATGTGTATATGTTATTGCACATAATACAAAACTAAAATGAATAAGGTGCATTAAAAATTTCACGTGTGATAATTTTCTTAAATTCACATTACAGTTTACAGGTAGTGATAAAGATATTGCTAACTGTTAGCTTAAATATCAGTAACTGTTAGCTAAAGTCATCTCTTTTTTTAAAAAAATTAAGGTCAGTCAAAATAATCATGTCAAACACTAGGTTATAGTATTCAGTATGTGGATATAGTGAGTTTTTATAGTGAAACAAATCTGAACTATTTTAATCTCCAATGTGAAACATATTAATATGAAAAAAAAATACAGTTATCTATTAAAAGTTCTGTTCTTTATATATAACCTATAGGGTCACCCAGGGAATCCTGGGAATAATGGAGCCAAGGGAGATAGGGTAAGTAGAGTTGTTTTTACAATTTCCATTTAGATCTAATTGTTGGTGCATCACAAAGGAGCAATATTAACTTGCTGTTATTACAACAGTATGGATTAAGATGAATCACCATGAAACAAAGCTAGAGACTAGGTAAAAATTTCGATATTTGAGAATTTATTCTAATAGATAAACTGAAAATGATGTACAATTGTTACTATTTTGGTAGAAGCATTAGAAAATAATAGTATAAAAGTATTTATCTCTTTTTAAGAAAATTGTTTTACAAGTATTTGGAAATAGTGAGACTTTCTAATGTGGGATCAGTTTGGATAAATATAAAAATTGTTTTTGAAAAATTTATTTCCTTGTTACACATGGTTGTAATAAATGACTTTGGTAATACCCAGACACCTTTGTACTCATAAATTTTGAGTATTTCTGATAATTGTAACTATGTAGAAATCAGCCTCCAAGAAAGATTTCTGAACAAAATCTGACTGATAATTTACCATTTTCAAATTTATTATAATTAAAATGTAAAATAATTTCTTATTCTTTACTTTCCAAAATTTATTAGCACTCAGTTGGTGACTGTTAAGTATTTAAACTTGTTTTATTGCCCTCTACACACACTCACACGTACTATTATTTACTATCACATTTCTATGAAAGGGCTAGAATGAGTTAACAAATAAAGTTACTTTTTTATTAATAGGGTCAACCAGGTACTCAAGGCCCAATGGGATTTTCTGGTCAGCGTGGTGTTAAGGTAAAAAGATGAATATTGTTATTATAACTCGTTACATTATCACAGTATGTTTTTTAATTATTGTTGGTTTATTGATAAATGTTATATAGCATTCAGAATAATTTGTTTTGTCATTAATGTATTAGTTATAATTGTTTAAAAAATTTAAATTTAAAAAAGTACTAAAAGATTTCCACACGTTTTTACTTGTATTATTTAAGCATATTTTAACTAAAAGAAACTATTTACTGCTCATACATTTGTGTAAACTTTTGAGTCATATATAGATATATAAAAATTTGCAATGGTATTTGGGTCTCGGGTTCAAATCCCTGTCCCACCAAACATGCTCGCCCTTTCAGCTGTGGGGGTGTTATAATGTAATGGTCAATCCCACTATTTGTTGGTAAAAGAGTAGCCCAATAGTTAGTGGTCGGTGGTAGTGAGTAGCTGCCTTCCCTGTAGCCTATTACTGCTAAATTAGGGGCGGCTAGTGCAGATAGCCCCCATGTAGCTTTGTGTGAAATTCATAACCAACTTAGAAACTAACTTTTCTAATCACAGAATATACTGCAGTATCATAGTTTTCAAAGCTTACAACTTCTTTCAGGGTGACCAAGGAGCCCGTGGCTTGATGGGAGAGAAAGGAGACAAGGTATCATACACTTACACTATCTTATTAACTTTTTACTATTTGTTTCTTTTTGTATTAAATACTATTTCATTTTTAAGAAGTTTGTTAAGAAATGGCAAGGAAAGATAACTAATAGAGTTGTTTAAATAAGGAATGTGAAGATGTGCATTTAGTAAATATAGATATTTATATAAACAGATGCATACAAATGAAGTTAGTAACAATAATTGATATTTTATATCCCAGGGTTCACAGGGACCAAGTGGAGAGAAAGGAGATCAGGGTCATAAGGGAGTTGTAGGTTTAAAGGGACCAGATGGAATGCCTGGAATAGAGGGTCCTGAAGGCCCCAAAGTATGTATCAATACATTGCAAGAGCTTTTATTTTAAAATGTGTATCACACAGTTCTATTAAAAAGTAATCTAATACTATAAAATACAGTTTGTATCTGTCTGCCTGTCTCTCAGTCACGCAATGATGTCATAGTAACTTATTACATAATTTAAGTAGTTTGGTTTCCTGTCAATTAGAAATGAGTAGTCTATGATTGATCGAAAATTAAAGATATATATATTGGACTAAAATGTACAAAAAAGTGCACCTTTTTTGCAATTTGAAAACGTATCTTTGTTAAATCATTGAGTTACACCAGAAAGGACATAAATAGACTTTAGTAGACATTTTATACAACATATTAAAGGCTTATCAGAGTTTTAAAAAGGTCTAATTTTAGGTCATACAATAATATTAGAAGATTAATTATTGATAGTATTAAGTGTGGTAAGGTTTAGCCCTAACTGAACTAAAGCAAAAAACGTACTCAAGTTACAGTGTTAATTTATGTCTTTATCTAATATAGGCTGTACTTAATAAAGGCTTAACTAATGTTAGGACTAAGACAAGTGGACTTGTAGATTTCAGTGTCTATGATTAGTAATTTTTTTGTATTACTCTAGAAATCCTGTATTTAAAGAAGTACTGTTGCAATAAAGATACTAATTTGGCTGTGAATGTTTTGCAGGTCTCTGCTAGTCAATAATATTGGTCTTTCACATTTAGTTTTGTTATTCCATGAGTAACAAGTATATGCATTTAAAATTTTGGTTGACTTGGTATCATTAGCTTTTTAAATAACAACATGTAAATTTAAAAGGCAGAAAAATGTAAAGCTAAAAATCTTTTTTTTGTGGTTGAGATATGCTTATTATATGAAGGGTTGAAAATTGTCAGTAATGGAATTATTTAATGCTTATGTGAACACATATAATGAAATGCTAAATTTGTAAATATGTATAATTACAATTCAACTTTGTAGATTACACCACTGAAACATTTTCAAAAGAAAAATTAAATCATCTCAGTAGCTTTTTAATTTTTAAAACTTGCATTGCTTTGTATTTTTTAATATATTTTGCAACATGTGAAAACCACTGTTGAAGCTTAAAAACTACTTAAAAGTTTAATTGTAGATTCTATGAAAATGTTGGACAGTAATTAACAATACAGTTATCTCTCTTCAGTTTCTTTCTTATCATTAACTACATACTATTGCTTTACTAAGGGAATTGCTGGTCCCCGAGGAGAAATGGGACCACCAGGGCCACCTGGAGAGAAAGTAAGTTTTGCTTTGATATTTATTATGAATCTAAGCATTCATAGGTAGTTTTGATTGAACTCAAGATCAATTTAAAAGTTGATGCAAGAACTTGAACATTTTAAATGATCATTTTGGTATGTTTAAATCATAGAAAATATCCTATTTAATTTGGTAAAGCTGATGTAAATATTAAGTATGATTTGTATTGAAAATGTAGATTGTTTTATGTTATATTGTTAGTTAGTATTTTTATTTAGTTATTACATATAGCTTTTTGATATTTTTCAGGGTAAAATGGGAATACCAGGATTTCCTGGTTATCCAGGTTCGACTGGTAGTAAGGTGAGTGTTTTTCTTAATAATATTTTATGAATGTAGGTTGTATATTTAATAGTTTTTAAAATTTAATCAATCGTGTAAACTTGGCCTATTGAAGGTAGTGTTTCTTACTACATACATTATTTCTATTGTTGACTGAGTGATGCCAAATATGAAGACGTTTTTTAACAATATATGATCATTAAACTGTAAAATACAGTTTTTTAATTTTTACAAATAGCATCTTTCAGGTGTGTAAACACATAGGCTTGTTCTTGCTCAAATCTGTCAAATAACTTTTACTGTAAAATAAAAAGATACCTTGAACCTGATTGCACTGTATTATTTTTGTATAAGAATATCATTTTTCATTTATGTAAATACTTAGGCTCTTTCTTGCTCAAATCTACCAAACTAAGAAACAAAAATGACAGTCTAAATTAGAGTCTGCAGAAAATGTCAGGTCCTTTATATTAAATAGTGTTTTAATTCATGCTTTATAATATTGTTTTGTATTTTTATAACTTAGTTTGATAGTATTTTTGTTGATATTACATAACTTACTCATAATGACAAATAAATTTAACTGAAGCATATGCAGTAAAAGTAACTTGAACATGGTTAAACTCATTATAAAAACAAAAATGACAGGATATGTTTTAAAGTTAAAAATCATAAACGTTTTCAATTCTTACTGATTATTCTGAAAAAAACTTTTCAAAGCTTACTGGTATTTCTAATTTATTAATTTTTTCTTCGTAGGGTGAGAAAGGCTCTGGAGGAAAACCAGGTGACAAAGGACAAAAGGGTGAAATTGTAAGTGTTTCAAGCTACTTTAAATTGTTTTATTGAATTTTAATTTTTGTTTCTTATATTTTTTCACTTTGAGTAAATTCTGTTTTTATATTTGAGTTAAAAAAAGGATGAATAAATAAATAGAAAGAAAGAATCAGTTAATAACAATTATATTATTTATCTTTTATTAACCAAACTGCAGTGTAGTTGGTGCCTATCCCTCTCGCTATTGGCATGTTAAGATTAAAAATACTTTTCTTCCTCTGAAAATTGTCAAATTTCATATGAGTAATCTCTAAAACTTTCTAAATATCAAATATTGTTTTTGAGTAAAATTTTATGTTTTATCTGTTATTTTCTCTACCTTAACTTTCATGCATTTGATCAATTTGCCCAATCTTATAACCACCATAAAAATATGAAATAAATTTAATTGACCCTATTTTTTCTTTGTAGAATGACTCCAAATTGTAACAGTAAATTACAGTTGCTTATCTTAAATAGCTTAAAGCTCATAATAGTATACATCTGTTTCTACTTAAATTTTAATGTTTTATTGCCCTTTGAACCACCACACAAGTTTTAAATCACTTGTCAAACATGTAGCTCACATTACTGTATTGACTTATATAATGCATGAGCTGCTTGCAAGTAAAACTAGTGAAGAATTTTTATTATTATTACTATTTTTCATCATCTTACCTAATCTAACCTAATAAGTATCTGATTTTTACATTTGAGTTAACTTGATAATAATAAATAAAGAATACTCATGAAAAACAAGAAATATAGTACTTATCTGAGCCCTCTTATATTTTTGCTCTTGACTGTCTATGAAACGTAAGTCTACTTTTTATACTAATGGTATTACTACACTGAATTATTTTTATTTAATTAATTAATGCACCTAAGAACATTGAATAGTAACACAAAATAAACAATGTCTTATAACTATCAGAATTTTGCTGGCTTTCTAACTATGCGATAAGAGACTCTAAAAATGCAGCTAAGCTTTTCAATGTGAATCCTATACGAAAAAATTTAAAACTAGAGGCAAAATAGACAACTCTATGTACAAGAAACAATGTAATATAATATGTCATTTGATTGATTAAAACTTTGGCTTTCTATTGGTTATAAATAGTATAGTATAAAAGGATAGAGAGAACTAGTGGCAATTTGTGAAAGAGAGGACATGGAAAGTGGGTCTGATTTTCTAATTTATGGCTCCATAAACAAATAAGATTGAAAGCTATAAAAATCATTCTTTGACAGGAGTAATTTATGTTAAATTCTCTACTTTCTGGAGGGGTGGTACATAAATTAGAGAAGAGGGAAGACCTAGATAGTAAATGTTATATGCAATTCTTATACTAGGGTGAGATTGAGGACTTTTAAAAAATATTTCCTTATAAAATAAAGAGCTTAAAACTTAAATTAAAATTTGATTTATTACCTGTGTGTGTGGTTGTTTGTCAGCATGAATTTTCAAAAACAGCTAAGTGGATTTGGACAAAAGTTGGTATACATTTGAATATGATACAACTCAGAATTGATTATTTTTTGGAGGGTCAAGGTTACAGCAAGTTCATGAAAATCCAAGAAATCCCTATCTGTTAACATGGAGACTGATTTTTCACACTATTTTTGATTTATAACTCAGACAAAAATGATTGAATTTTGATGAAATTTGGTGGACATATGTAGAATATTATTTCTCACTATCCTACCTAAAATGGTCTGTGCCTGTTGATAATGGCAGACATACGAAAACATTTTCTTATTTTTTGAGAGCCAAACATGATCAATGCTGCGTGGCAGAGGTGTGCGCTCTACTGAGTGCCCCTCTAGTTAATTATGTTTGATGCCAAGTTTATTCACGTACAATCATAATAAGGTAGTTTAATTAAATTTTGAATGTAACTCTAGTAAGTCCTGACATATACACTTTGATCTAACCATGATGAGAGGGTTAAATATCTTAAATTCTACAACTTTTATGATGCTTTTATTAATCTACACTCTACAGTATGGATTAATTCGACTTAAAGAATTCTTTTTCTTTGCCTTTTTGATTTCACTATAACATTATGACTTGTATTTTTAAAGTTTGAAATCCTTAGATCTTGTTGACCTGCAAGATACAAGACATTAATATAAATATATTAAAACTAATATTTCCAAAATGGTAACACAATATAATAAGAAATGTTAATAAAACGGAAAGATAGGTCCTACTGTAGATTCAGTTCTAATGATTGCAATTGTTATACAGTATGAGAGATGAATCAGTAAAATAGTAAAGCTAAAATAGACTAATATGTTGTATAATATTAACCAGCAAGAATTTCATACTCTCAAGATATTTTTTAATATCAATGTGTTACATTATAGTGCTATCCCTGTTTGCTATGGATATGAGTGTGATCTGATGATGTTAGTCAGTTATGGTTAGATGTGACGGCAGCTTCTATGCAAGTAATGTTAGAATTTGCAGTTGAAAAAAGTGTTTTTTGTTTTTTTTTCATGTAAACGTACTATGTTCTCTTATTTGAATATAGTATTATTCTAAGTTTGTCAGTTACCCTGAATTTTGTCAATTATCACATAATTCGTGGTAAGGAAGACCATTAAGTTTGTTTTGTTCTCTTGGCATAATACCTTTTCAGTGGTGGGTCAGGTGGTATGTTGAGGTTATGGTCTCTTTGCTTGAAAGGGAATGACCAGTCACATGGGTAGTGCTAGCTGCTCAGAGAAATCCAGTGTTATTTGAATTTAAAGAGTCTGGTATGCTATTTTAAAGAAGTCACTTTAGAGAAACAACATCTGTCAATCCAGGACAGGTGACTGTCCCATGTCTGAGTACACACTGTTAGTGTTATAATAAAGATTACTTATTCATGCTTTGCATTGTGTCAAGTCACTTTATTTGGTTCATATCAATTCAGGTATACAGAGAAATTCAAACTTACTTGATAATAAATATCTTGTAGAATCTGCTGTCATTCAGAAAAACTATTCCATTGCTTTAATGTTAACTCATTTTTACCTGAATGTACCACATATTGACCAGGACACTGATACGTGGTAATATGTATATTAGGCTTGCCAGTGCTTTAACTAAAAAAAATTTTAATCATGTAATTTTAACCACTTAATGTTTTCCATGTATATTTGTGTTCTTTTTCATATTGATCTAAAATGGCTTAAAATTTTTTTTTATGTGGTTGGTCTCCTTATTTAAGATATTTACACATTGCCTTTTCATATTATTAATGAAAAGTACTTTGACCATAAATAACAAAAATATTGTCTACTGAGCTATGTTATGGAAAATTAAAACTAAATATTATCTTGATCACAAATAATAGATCATTTATTGATAAAGAAACTAACAGCTTTATAAAAAATTATGTAGTAAATAGTTTCTTTTCGAGGAATTACAGAAGTTTCTAATAAACAGCAAAGCTAAAAGACTAATCACAATCAGAAATATCACATTATGTTTGATGTAATAGTTCTGTTGCATTAATTACCAGAAAGTTGCAGTTTCTGTTTTGGGTTTGTAAAAGTTAACAAAATTAAGTGGATGGCATTTCTTTTTCAAAAGTGCAGTTCAGATTATCCTTTTTTTATTTTATTTTTTATGTCAGTAGAAGTATATACACAATCAACTTGACTGATCCATGTTTAGAAACACAAATCTGATTATATGAATGTGTTTTTTTATGATATCAGTATGGAACTATCAGCTTATAGTCCTGCCCTCTATTGATCAGGGCATTTATACTTAGTAAAGACATTTTTGTTTGTGAATCCATATATATATTGTGATTAAGATTTATATTTTAGTTCTAAAAACATTTATATATTTAATTTCCAGGGTCTGTTGGGCCCACCTGGAGAACGAGGGGAACCAGGACCTAGAGTATGTTGTAGTTTCATTCTGTAACACAGTGAAAGATATTTGTTTGGTTAAGTTTTAGTTTGTTTTATATGGTACTGTTATAGAAATATGAAACTGAGGATCAGATTTAGTTAATTTGGTAACTCTCACTGTTTTAGAGCTTTGTTTTCATAAATTTATTATTTTGGTTACTATTCACGATTGAAGCACTAACTCTGTTTATTGCTTAAAAGGTTAAACATCTTATATTTGAAATGTGCTTCCACATTTATTTTTGAATGCTTGTAAATAGAATTGAATATTTAGGCAGTATCATTAACAAAATTTTTATCATTAGCTAATTATATCACCTGTGCTTAAGAAATTTATGTTAAGTTATAGTGGAGTTTACAGCAAATCATATCTTCAGCACATGAAGAAAATAGTTTAATAACTTACCTTTTCTTAAGTTATCTTATTTTGCTGTAACTTGTTAAAGAAAACGTCTTTACTATAAACATGCTTATTCTATATAGGGAAACAGAGGCCGAAGAGGTAGCCGAGGAAAGAGGGGTCCACGAGGAGGAAAGGTATCAAAGTAACTTCTTTTGTAAGACATTTTGTTGATAGTCGTCTTATTTAAAGTCATATAACTATGTTCAGGCTTACTGTATTTTGAACTTATAAATAAATATGTAGTGTTATGAACATATCAACTCTTGCAGTATTTAATACATTATTCTACTGTCTGCATTATAACTAGAGCACGCAGTTCCGTAAATAGAATAGAATAATAGTGTTTACAGAGTAGAGATTCTAAACAACAACTGTATTTACAGTAATACCCTTATAATAGAGGCTTTTTAGTGAATACATGTGTTATATGTAGAGAATCATGGCAAAATATAGAAAAGAAAGTAAGTTATTATATGACTATAATGTAATTATAAGACATATTTAAAATAAATATTGTTTTATTTCTTTGGAAGTTTTAAATGTTTTTGTAATTTTTAACTTTTATATTTATATAAGTGTTATTTAAAAATCAACAAATACAGAGAGAATACTTAAATGTATTAATTTTTCTAAAAAAAATTATTTGTGTATTGCTTGAATTATGTTGCATGGTTAGCAGTTGGTCAGACCGTTTTGCCTTAGAATCCCATTTTAGTTACATTTATTTTAAAGACGAAAGAATTATATCTTGCAAAAAAAAAACACTATCTTTGATTGTGGTATAACAACTACCTAGAAAGGTATTGATATTTTTCTTAAAATATAAGGAAAGTACATGATTATCAAATGCAGCTTATTTGTGGATTAGGGTTGTATTGTATAAAGTTTGATCAAAAACTTTATTTTTCTTCTTTTGTTTTAGGGTAGTATAGGAGAACCTGGACCAGCAGGTTCACAGGGAGAAAGAGGACCCCAAGGGCCAGTAGGACCACGAGGTTTTGCTGGCCCTCGTGGACCTCCAGTAAGAGGAAATACATTTTTATTTATTTATGGATATTTATTGTAATAACATAAACAAAATAAAATAATTATTGTAAAAGCAAAAATACAAACTAGAACTAAATCTATAACTGCATCAGTGTGCCATTCACTTTTTGTTTATGATACAACTATACAAATATTTTTTTATCTATAGATAGAAAAAAAATGGGTTTTTAGATTTCTAACCAAGTGTTGCATTGTAATCAATAAGATTGTATTTCTTTGTTTACTTAAACCTCTCTCTCTTCCACCTGTTCATCTTCAGGGACCATCCGGTAAAAATGGACTTCCAGGACAGTCTGGAGAACGAGGACCTCCAGTAAGCGAAGTTATTTTTGTGTTTTCTTCTTCATATTACTAGAAAAATGTTTAATTATTAAAAATTTTACAAAACTTATGTAAACTTTATTAGGTGTATTTTCTGAATTTTTGCTTAATTCATAAATTTTTTGCCTCAAATTATCTTGATGTAAAATGTATAAATAAGTGTATATGTTCAGAAGATGTTTTTGTATTATGAATGTTTCCATAATTATACATATAAAAATGTTACCACCAATATTTTAATATTACACATGTGATTATACTATACTGTGTTTCTCATATACATTAATTTTCTTTTAAGTCTTTAAAACAGACCAGCTTGGTTGTCAGTAGGACTAAATAAGTTACATACAAAGGAGGTTTATAATGACAGATAATTTCTTTTACTTCAAAGGGAGAACCTGGGCCTCATGGACCACCTGGCCCACCTGGTGTTGTTGGACCACAGGTAAAGCTAGAAAACTTCAGTATTATTGAAATATGTGTTGCTCATTTTTTCTTGTCTATCACTAAATTTAGAATTCCAAAATTTGCATGATATACCTATAATTCTACAAAGATGCAATTATGTTTGAGTGAAATGCCAGTCTGTAGCTGTATAATATGTGTATTTGTATACAGGTAAGAGGTTTAAAAACAATACCAAACATATTGTCTTTATAAACCTTGGATCATACTTTCTTGCTTCATTCTAAAAAATAAAAAAGTTAAACTTAAAAGAAAACACTTTTCTGTTTTATACTTTTTATGAATCTTATTTTTTACCTTAAAACACACTCATTACACTAGACTAGAATATATTTAATCATTCTAAGTAGTCAGTTAGTTCTTCTAAACAATATTCTTAAGAAATTTTTAATTTAGCAACAGACAGTTTTACCAGATTTTTTTCCCTGAAATTGATGCAAGTCTAATTTTGTCAGATTAACACAAAAGTAGAGAAGAACATGTGAAAAGTAGTAAGTTTTAAAGATAATTAAAAAAGTATGTCAGTCTTCCTGTGATAAGACCGTGCAAACAAATTATGTATGTATGCATAGAGTAAATATTTTTAATTATTTATTTTTAATTTTTAACAACCAAACAACAGTATATATCTATTTTAACAGGGTGATGTAAAAGTACATAGCTTATATAGTATTCCACTTAACTATATTAATTAATGTGTAGGTAACCCTTAAGCTTTTATACTCTGTATCGTACCACTTTTTAATCAGTGTGAATTTTATGCTCTCTTACAGTTTCTGTTCATCAGTTTCCCTTGTTACATAACTAATTTTTTTTTTGTATTTATTTAGGGACCAGCAGGAGAGCCAGGCCCTTCTGGGGATACAGGACTTCCTGGAACTCCAGTATGTTAAGTGACTGTTCTCCTATTTTGTATTTTAAATATCTATTTAGTATTTAGTTTATATACCAGCTAGATTTTCTTTGCAATTTTAATTTTATAAATATGTTTGCAAAGAAAAAATTTTCGTTTACAGTTAAGAAGTAGGATGGAAGTCTTGTATCTGATTTTCCACACTTCTTGTTAAGAATCAATATTAATTAAAGTTACTTTTTTAGTTTTTTAACTTTGAAACAATACAATCTTTATA